GCTATCTTTTTCAATTTATTTTCATTCTTTGTCAATCCTTTTTAATTTCAATTTGACAGAGTTTCCCTTGTGTTTTTTGCATTCTTTTGTCGTTGTATTTGTTGCTATCTTTGGCTTTTACGATCTCTCTTGTTCTTGCTCTCTCCTGTTTTCTGCCTTTTTCGTTTTTCTTTTTCCTCTTCTTTATTTCTTTATCCCTTTCTTTTATCTCTTTTCTTTCACCTTCTTTGTTACCTTTTCTACTGCTCTTCTCTTTTTCTCCTGATTTCTTTCTTTCTTGCTTCTCTTTTATTGCTTTCTTTCTTTTCCCTCTTTCTTGTACTTTCTTCCTTTTCTACTTTTCCTTCTTCTTATCTTTTCTTCTTTCTTTCCTACTTTATTCTCTACTCTATCGCTTTTTATTGCTTTTCTCTCTTGTTGCTGTTTTCTCTTTCTTTTCTCCTTCTTCTTTTTCTCTCTTATCCTCTTTAGTACTTTATGTTACTTTCTGCTTGCTATTTTCCTCCTTTTTTACTTGTTCTCTTTCTTTTTCTTTCTTCTTTTCCCTTCTTTCTTCTTTTCTTCTTTTTCTCTTTTCGTTTTCTTCTCTCCTGTTTTTCATCCCTGCATCTTTTATCTTGTCCTTTTCTTCGTCTCTTGTGTTACGTTTTCGCTATGTTTCGTGTTGATTTCTTGGCTTTGTTATGTTCTTTATCCATTATTTTTCCTGTTCCATTCACTTTTCTGTTTTTTGTCTTCTCGTGTTTTTTGTTTTTTCTCTACTTATCTGTTCTCTTTCTCTTGTTCTCTTTATTTTTATTTTTCTGTGCTTTCTGCTTTCATCTTGTTCTTTTCTTTACTTTGCCTCTCTTCTTTTCCTTTTTTCCCTCTCTCTCCTGTCTCATTTTTTTGCTTATCTCTTCCTTTTGTTATCTTGTTGCTTTCTTAGTTGTTCTGGCCTGTTGCTTCCTCTTTCTTTTTTCTCTTTTTCTCTTCTTCTTCTCTTCTTTATTTCTTGGCCGTTCCCTTTTTCTCTTTCTTTCTTTTCTTTCCTGTCTGTCCTTTCTATTATCTTTCCATTTTACCTATCTTCAATATTTTCTTTTTTCGGACTTTCGTCTTTTGGCTTAGTTCTCTCCTGTGTTGTTTCTTTCTTTATTCGGTTTTCTCCTCTCTTCCTTACTGTATTGTCTTCTAGTCTTTCCTTTTTTCTTATCTTTTCTTTTTTACTTTCTTGTATTTTGCTATTTCTATTTCGTTATATCTTCCTTGTTTCTCCTTTGCTTTCCTTTTGATCACTTGCTTTTACCTTTCATTATTTGATTATTGCTGTTTTTCCATTTCCTATACTTGTTTGTGACTTCCTTACTTTCTCTTGTCCTTTTCCTTCTCTTGCATTTCTTTTTTTATCTTTTCCTTTTTTTCTTTTTCTTCCTACTTTCTTTCTCGATCCTTTATTTTTTCCTTTATTCTTTCTTTCCTGTTTTCTGCATTTTATTTCTTGTTTTTCTCTTTTCATTATTTCTACTTATATATTTTGCGGTCTTCTTTTATTCTTGCTTCCTTTTTCCTTTTTCTTTCTTTCTTTCTTCCGTTTTTTCTCTATTTATTTTGTTTTCCTTTCTTTTGTTCTCTCTTCTCATTTTTCTTTTTTTTTCTTTCTTGTCGCGTTGCTTCTCCTATTACTATCTATTTATCCTTCTTCTTGCGTTTTGTTTATCCTCTCGCTTTTCTCATTCGTTTCTTTGCTTTGCTCTCTTTTTCGCTTTTGCTTCGCTTTACTCCTTATTTTATTCTCTGTTGTTTCTTTCCTCGCTTTATTATGTTCTTATCTCTCGTTTATCGCTTCTCTCTCTTTCCTGCTCTTTTCTTATTGATATTTCCTTGTCTCTCTTTCTTGTCTCTTCTTTCTTGTACTCTTATCTTCTCTTTGCTTTTATTTCCTGTATTTCCATCCTTTTGTTATTGATTCTTTCGTTTTTTCCTGTTTCCATTTTCATTATTCTCTCTTGCTTCCTATTTCTTATGCTTTCTTCTGTTTGTATTATCATCTTGATTTTCTTATTTATCTCTTTTTTTATCTTTCTCTTTCTTTTCTACTTTCTTCTTTTCTTCCTAATTCCTGTCGCCTTTCTCTTGTTTCTTTCGTGATTTTTCCCTTATTCTCCTGCTTATTTTTTATTATTTTTTCTTCTTCTCTCTATCTTATATTCTTTGTCTTTCCTTGTTTTCTACTTTGCGTCTTCTTTTATCTCTTTCTTTTCGTTTTCCTTTTCTCTTTTGTCTTCCTTTCATCCTTTCATTTTCTCTTCTTATTTCTTCCTTCTTGTTTCCTTTTCTTTCTTTGTTGTCTTCTTACTATTTCTTGTCTTTTTTGTTTCTACCTTCTTAGCTTTTTTTTCTTTGCTCTTTTGTTTTTGTCTTTCTTTTTTCTTCTTCTCTTTTGCTTTTCCTTCTTTTTGATTATTATTCTTTTATTCCTTTCCTCTTTCCTTTATTCTAATTTCCTTGTATTATCTACTGCTTGTTACTATTGCTTTCTTTTCTTTTTTTCTTGTTCCTTTCCCCTTTCTTACTTCTTCTTTTCATTTATGCTTTCCTTTTCTTATTGTCTTCCTCATTGGTTTTTTCTTCTATTCCTTTCTCGACTTTGTCTTATCTTATTCTCTTGTTTTTGCTTATTCCCTTTCTTTCTTATTATTTTTTCTTCTCTTGCCTTTTGTTTTCTTTTCCTTGTTTTTCTCTCTATCTTCTTTCTTCATATATTGTTCTATTTTTTCTTCCTTTATCATTTTTTCTTTTTTCCTTCTTATTTTTCTTATTGCTTCTTTTCATTTCGTTTTCCTTACTTTCACTTTGTCCTTTGTGTTCTCCCTTTTTATCTCTCATTGCTCTTTTCGTCCTATCAGTTGCTTTTCCTATTTTCCTTTTATCTTGTTATTTACTTTTCTTCTCTCTATCTTCTTTTCTTTCTCATTCCTTTTTGTTGATTCTTTTACTATTTTTTTCTCTCTGCCTTTTTCCTTTGCTTCTTCTCTTTTTTATCTTTTTGTTGCTCTTTCGTTGTCTTTGCTTATGCTTCCTTTTCTTCTTATCTTTATTTCCTGCTGCTCGCTGCTGTTTCTCTTCTTTATTCTTCTGCTGTCTTTTCTTACTTCTTTCTGCTCCTTTCTTCTTTCCTACTTTAATCTTTCTTTATTTTACCTACTTTGTTTAATTCCCTTCTTTCTATTATTTTTTTTTTTCTCTTCTCTCTTTCTCGCTCCCTTCTTTCTATTCTTATGTTTTTGTTTTTCATTCTTTTCTCTATCGTGCTTATCTCATACTTTTCGCTTTTTGCTTTTGTTTTTCCTTCTTCTTCTTTTTTCCTTCTTTTTACTTTTCGTTCATATTCTGTTTTTCCTCTTTTCTTCTTTCTTGCTTTTTCAACTGTTTTTCCTTATCTATCTTTAGCCTTTTTTTTCCTTTCTTCTTGGCTTTTTTCTTTCTCTTTTTATTTTCTCTTCTCTTATTTCTTCCCTTTTTATTTCTTTTTTGTATCTTTTGTCTTACTTACTTCTCCCTTCTTTCTCTATTATTTCTTTTCTATTGTTCTCGCTTCTTTCTTTCTTTCTTTTCTTGTCTTTCCTTTCTTTTGTCTTGTTCCTTGCTTCTATCTCCTTATTATTTCTTCTCGTTGCTGTACTTCTTTCTTGTTGGTTGCTACTTTTTTTTCCCTTGGTGCTTATCTTGGCGTTCTTTGCCTAGGGTGTGGGTATCCCGGCTTCTTCTTTCGTTTCCCACTTCTTACTCCTTCCTCACCCGCTTTCCTTT